GAGTTGCCAAGGATGGCCTCAAACTTGCCATTCTCCTGCCTCAGCCTCCAGAGTCCCTGGGATTACAGGGGTGAACCACTGTGCCAGGCCTGTTAAGCTCTTAATTAAAAAATAAATGTTGGGCAGGGGTTGTGGCTCAGTGGTGGAGGGCTTGTCTAGCATGTGTGAGGCACTGGGGTAGATTCCTGGCACCACATAAAGATAAACAGATAAAATAAAGGTATTGTGTCCATCTACAACTAAAAAAAATTTTAAATAAAAGTTATTATTACAGGCAACTCCAGATTGTTCAAGGAAATATTATGCATGCTATGTTTTGATTATGGCAAATTATACTTTCAAGATTATTGGTAATTACCGGGGTTGTGGCTCAGTGGTAGAGGATTTGCCTAGCACATGTGAGGCACTGGGTTCAATCCTCACCACCACATAAAATAAATAAATAAACAAAATAAAGACATTGGGTCTATTAAAAATATTTTTAAAAAAATATTATTAGGGGCTGGGGATGTGGCTCCAAGTGATAGCGCACTCGCCTGGCATGCGCACGACGCTGGGTTCGACCCTCAGCACCAGATGTTGTGTATGCCAAAAACTGAAAAATAAATATTGAAATTCTCTCTCTCTCCTCTCTCTCTCTCTCTTTTAAAAAAATATTATTAAAAAAATAAAAAATATTATTGGTAATTAGTAAAATTAACAAGGAATAATGACAGACTGAGGAAACATGAATTCTAGTTCCAATTATACTTTAATTTATATACATGTAATTTAATTTTATGTATTTTTTTAATTTTTAAATTGACATATAAAATTTTTATATATACCCAAGTACTTGGCACACTCCTGTAATCCTAGCTATTGGTGAGGTTGAGGCAAGAGTATTGCAAGTTTGAGGTCAGCCTCCACAATTTAGTGAGATCCTGTCTCAAAATAAAAAATGAGCCAGCGCGGTGGCACAGGCCTGTAATTCTGAAGCCAGATTTAAAGTTAGGTAGTCAGTGTAGTTAGGTAAATCGGGTCTAATATCGAGTGAGATCTAAAATGGAGGCCATGTAGAGAATGAATTCCAGGAAAAGTTGAACATCTCTCGGAATGTTAATGAAGTCCGGGAAAAGCCTAAGGCCAGAGCCCATCCCAAAGAAGTATTAATGAACAGCCCCCAGCAAACTTGAAGATGCTGACTCAGAAGTCCTTCCTGCCCAGATTACTTCTTTGGCCCACCTGTGTCCCACCCCTCGGGCCTTCCCACCTACATTCCATCACTAAAGGAACTATAAAAAGGGGAAACAGCCGCACTTCCACGGATTCCATCTCTTGGGTCCCCTTCTTCCTCCCGGAGAAGTCTTTTCTGCTGTCCTTTAATAAACTTCTACTTTCCACTCTGACCTTGCCTCGGCTTGCTTCTCTGGTGTTATACTTCAATATTGGGGAAGCAAGGACTCGTCACCGGTCAGCAACGGTAACAATTCTAGCGGCTCAGGAGGCTAAGGCAGGAGGATCATGAGTTCAAAGCCAACCTCAGCAATGACGAGGCACTAGCAACTCAGTGAGACTCTCTCTCTAAATAAATTACAAAATAGGGCTGGGGATGTGGCCGAGTGCCCCTGAGTTCAATTCCCAGCACCAAAATAAATAAATACATAATAACTAAAAAATAAAAAGGAGCCAGATATAGTGGCACAGGCCTATAATCCCAGCAGTTTGGGAGGCTGAGGCAGGAGGATTGCAAGTCTGAGGCCAGACTTAGCTAGGCCCTAAGCAACATAGCCCTAAGCAAACTTGCCTCAAATAAAAAAATAAAAAGGGGGCTGGGGTTGTGGCTCAGTGGTAGTGTGCTCACCTAGCACCCAGTGAGGCACTGGGTTTGATCCTCAGCACCACCACCAAAAAAAAGAAAGAAAGAAAAAGAAATAAAGATATTGTGTCCACCTACTAAAAAATAAATTATAAAAACAATAAAATGAGGAGCTGGGCTTGTGGCTTAGTGGTAGCATGCTTGCCTAGCATGCATGAGGCACTGGGTTCGTTTCTCAGCACCACATACAAATAAATAAAATAAAGGTCTATCAACAACTAAAAAAATATTTTAAAAAATCAACTAAAAAATATTTAAAAAATAAAAAGAGTTGGGCTGGAGTTGTAACTCAGACGCAGAGCACTTGCTAGCACCACATAAAAAATAAACAAATAAAGTAAAAGTATGCTATCCATCTACAACTACAAAAAAAAAATTTTTTTAAAGGGATGGGGATGTCACTCAGTGGTAGTGCAGCACGGGGTTCAATCCCAGTACCAAAACAATGTGCATGTATCTATGGTGTACAACAAGATGTTTTGAAATGTATATATACACACAGAATTTGAAATGGCTGAATCAAGCTAATTAACAAATCCATTACCTTACATATTTGTGACAGAACACTTCAAATATACTTTTAGCAATTTTCACATGTACATCAGTATTAACTGTAGTCACCATGTTGTTCAACAGATCTCTTGAACTTTACCTTAATTTGATATGTGATTTAAGGAAAGTTATTCTCCCTCTGCAGAGCTCGATAATCAGGGAAAGAGGGAAGTTAAACTAGCAGATGATGGCAGTTTCCTTCCAGTTCTAATATAAACAGAAACCGCCTATATTTTCCACTTAATCATCTCTGCACATTAAGCCTCAGGAAGCCCCTCAAAATGCATTTAACCACCTCCCTTGCTCTCTGAAAGATCTAAACGAGAACATATCTGCTTTTGTAGAGCTATGCTTCAATCTCAGAAGCCTGCTTTGTCTCTTTACTACCTGACCAGGATGCAGAGACGAACAGGAAAAGATATAATTGGGAAATTTGAGAAAGCCCAGTAAGATAGTTTAATATAATGTGAAGAATGTTAGTTCAGGTATCCAAATCTTGGTTCAGGTACTTACAAAGTAACCTTGAGGAAGTTAGTAACCTCTCTGTGTGCTCTGTGATGCCATGAAACTCATGTCAATAAAGTGAAAATGTGACCATATAATAGCTGCTCATTCAATATTAACACTTTCCTGTTTTTACCCTAAGCCTGTTTAAATCTTCACAGGGAGAATCATACCATAGCTCAGTTGGTAAGTTGCTTTTCTTTCATGCACAAGGCCCTGGGTTCAATCCCCAGCACCACAAAAACCCAAAACTTTCCTGCCTTGCTTACCCAGCTACTTTATATCTGGAGTATTACTGGGAGGCAGGCAGATGACAATCATAGCTATATCAGTGTGGCTCTATCATTTTACTTGAAGTGATTCCTGGACCATCAGACACTAGATCCAAGAAAAAAAAAATTCAATTGTTATTATTATTTATCTGGTCATGAACTATTTTCTAATTGTCTGTTCTCATAGATAAAACTGGCAAAATATCACCTGCTCTATTTGCCTCTGAGTTGTTGTAGATTAAATAAGAATGGTGTTTATGAAAACAGTTTTTTAAACTATAAGAATGCAGCCAGGCATGGTGGTGCACTCCTGTAGTCCCAGCTATTAGGGAGTCTGAGCCCAGCCCAGGCAACAAGTGGAGAAATGGAGTCAGAGTGCCTCCTTCTCTCCCTCTCTCTGTCTCTCTCTCTTTTTGTACTGGTGGTTGAAGAGGCACTTTACCACTGAGCTACATCCCCAGTCCCCGCTCCCCTTTTTTCTGTAGTTGTAGATGGACAGAATGCCTTTATTTTATATTTTTATTTCTTTTAATTTTTAGTTGTAGACAGACACAATATTTTATTTATTTATTTATATGTGGTCCTAAGGATAGAAACCAGTGCCTCACATGTGCCAGGCAAGTGCTTGCTCTACCACTTGAGCCACAAACCCAGCCCTGATTATTTTATTTATTTATTTTGGTGCCCGGGGATTGAACTCAGGGGCAATCGACCACTGAGCCAGTGAGCCACGTCCCCAACCCTACTTGTATTTTATTTAGAGACAGGGCCTCACTGAGTTGCTTAGTGCCTCACTGAGTTCCTGAGGCTGAGCTTTGAACTTGTGATCCTGGGCTATAGGCGGTCTATTTTATTTATTTTTCTGTGGTGCTGAGGATCCAACCTGGTACCTCACACATGCTAGGCAAGCGCTCTGCCACTGAGCCCCAGCCCCAGCCCCCCTTTTATTTTTGAGATAAGGTCTCCCTAAATTGCTGAGGCTGGCCTTGAACTTGCAGTCCTCCTGCCTCAGCTTCCCAAGTCGCTGGGATTACAGCCTGTGCCACCGCGCCCAGCGACACCTATCTTAAAAAGCAAAAGCCAGCCGGTAGTGTTGGCACACGCCTGTGATCCTAGCGGCTCAGAGACTGAAGCAGGAGGATGGCAAACTCCAGGCCTCAGCAATTTAGCGAGAACATGTCTCAAAAGATAAAAGGGCTGGGGATGCAGCTCCGCGTTAAAGCGCCCCTGGGTTCGGTCCCCAGCACCCACACCAAACGGAACCGAGAGCCGGGCACAGAGGTACACACCCGTGACCCCAGCAGCTCGGAGGCAGAAGTAGCCGTTTGCTGGTAATCACACGCAAATTCCCAAACCAAACGCAAGAGGTTTTTTGACTTATTGCACTTTTCCAGGCCCTGTCCCTCCGTTACGTGACAGGTCAGCGACTGCGTCTGTACGGTCGCGTAAATGCTCGGAGGACGATTTGGAAAACCCGCGATTGCGCAATCCCCTCGTCCCCTCGGTCCCCGCAAAGCCCTCTTAATTCGAGCCAACGGGTTATTTAGTCCCAGGTAATAACCTGGGGCTTCAGAGTCATGTGGTAAGCAAACCCTGGGTCGTACCTGGCTCCGACCCAGGGCCCCCAAACGTTCCTCGCGCCCCCAAGGCTCATTTTCTGATTTCTGCCCCGCCCTTCAGCCCGCAGACCCAAATCCCCGCCTCCCAAACAAATACTGCGGCCCTATTGGCCGGACTCCGACCATTCTGACCAATTACGGAGGAGTCGGTCTTGAGCCGATAATCCCATTGGCTTGATGCCACGTCCCTCAACCCTCCGGTCTTCAGCTTCCCACTGGGACTCGGCGTGGGCAGAGCGCCGAGGAGAGGCCTGCTCCAGGTTTGGGGCGTGACTGTTGGCACTTTTGTTTTTGCGATCCTGCGTTGGTCTCCCTCCAATAAAAGCGATGGCTGGGGAACAGGCACTCAAGGATGTCGTGCTCCGGTCACCGCCGTCTCAGTCTTCCCCGAGGAGACCTCAAACTCTCAGAAAGAGCTGCCGCTGGGAGACCCTGAGGCACCGAAGGCGCGGCTACCTGTTTTCCTTCAACCCCGTGTGCGCACGTTCGGCGACCCACACCCCAGTTTCCAGATACAGCGCCCCCAGCCTGGCTCCGTGCAAGGTGCCACCCGCTTTCCGGGTGTCTGGCGGGGGGCGGGGTTTGGCTGGGCAGGACCAGGATGTGAGATCCTGGAGGAAAGAAAAGGTGTAGTGTTTGGGGCGGTCAGCAGGTAATACCCGGTTTCTGAACGTAAGACATAGGCCAGAGGCGAAGTCTCCCTGCGGCCAGTGTGGGGGCTGCAGCAGGTAAGGAAGGGGGTTATGGAAGAGGGTGCAGAGAAGCCCAGAAGATGTGGGGGTAGGGACAGGAGCATCTCCCTTCTGTAACTTTCCTGCACACCTTCCTACAGAAGCATGGAGCTAGGATCCCCTGACCTGCTAGACGTGTTGCTGGAGCCCCCAGAAGATATCTTCTCAACAGGATCCTTACTGGAACTGGGATTCAACTGTTCCCCTCCAGAGGTTCCAGTGACTAGGCTACAAGAACAGGCGCTACATGGCTGGGATTCTAGTGGGGGCCATGGCTGTGTAAGTGTGATGAATAGGAATGGAAGGAAGTGGGCTTGAGACACAACTCTGGGCTAAGAAGACCCAAGAGGCTTCAGCACCCACTTGAAAAGAGACCTGAAAACAGTGAACCCAAAATAGATATTAGTTGTAACTATCCCCATCCCCAAGAAAAGCCTGAAACTGAAGTAAGAAGGATCTAAATCTGATGTAGGATATACAAGTATGCCAGTTAGGACTTCCTGGCATACCTGTATACCCTTCTCCGACTACAGGGACTTCAAGAGAGTGAATCTGAAGATTTCCTGAAGCTTTTCATTGATCCCAATGAGGTGTATTGTTCAGAAGCATCTCCTGGCAGTGACAGTGGCAACTCTGAGGATCCTGGCCTCTCAGACAGTCCCCCTGCCCTGCAGGCACCCAGCTCTCCTGCCCTCTATGAGGTTGTCTATGAGGCAGAGGCCCTGCAGAGGATGCAGGGGGAAGCCAGGCCAACCTTAGGACTCATCTCCATTCAGCTAGGTCAGTTTCTTTGTGGGAAGAGGTCCAGCCCTAGCCATGAGGTTAAGGGGATTTCCCCAGCCAATGCCACTACCCAGCCCCTGGTGCCTCAGGGTGAACCTCTCTTTTGTCCCAGCTTCTTGTGTCTCCTTCAGATCAGTGGAGCCCACAATTCATGGTGCCAGATGCCTGCATGGTCAGTGAACTGACCTTTGATGCTCATGCACACATCCTGCCCAGAAGCACTGCAGCCCCAGTGCCTCCTTCCACACTTGTAAGTCTTGGGGTCCGTCAGACCAGTGCTCTGTGATACATACATGTATCCTCACAGACAGTGGCACAGGGGATGAGGGAGGGGGAAGCTGATGAGGAACTGTGTCTTTGCCGCACTTTTCATGGCACTGAGCCTGAAGACCAAGGCAATGAAAGCAACTTTAGGAGCAGGAAAGGACAAGGGGGTGAGAGAGAGAGCCGGTGTGGATAAGGTGGTGATGACTCAGTTAAGTTGGGATGAGGGACAAGGCTCTGGAGAAAGCCCACACCTTGTGTGCATTGCATGCTTAGCCAGAGCCATTGTTTCAGCCTTGGGTCAGGACAGAATTGGGACAGTAGCCTGGGAATCCAACTGGTTGGTGGATACAGAGTGATGGAGAAGAAACTGCAACAGTGTTTCCACTGTAGCAAATACCCAGGGGCCAGCTCTTCAGGAACCCTATCAGAAGCCTTCTGAGGGGGCTGGAGATTGTGCAGTGAGGTTGGAAAGGTGGCTACATTCAGGTCACTGTGTCTTCCTTTATCCTGGGAATACTTCCCAAGCCCAAAGCAAGGAACAGGTTCTAGCTTCCATCTAAACTTGTGGGTGAAGCTTGAACCAGAAGCCAAGTCAAGCCAGGTACAGTGTCCCACAACTGTAATCCCAGCTCCATGGGAGGCCAAGGCAGGAGGATTGAAAGTTTGAGGCCAGCCTGGGCAACTTAGTGAGCCCTTGTCCCAAAGTAAAAAGTACCCCTGGGTGCTGTCCCCAGTACTGCAAAAAGAAAAAAAGTGGTTGGCTTAGCTAAAAGCTAAAACAAATTCTTAAGTCACAAAGTCAAGCATAAATCTTTCAAAAAAGAATGCAGCTTACTCCGTTGATGGGTCCAGCTTAACCGAAGTCACCATCTGTCCACTGTCTACTCTGCATGCTTTACTGTGGGAAGTCACTCAGTGTGACTGCCTACAGGAGTTCCTTGTCTAAGAGGGGGCAGAACCTGAAAGTGGAGTTCAGACCTTGTGGTTCTGTGGTTGACGGGCACTGGATAACATACTCTGCCAAATGGAAGTTAATGGCTGGATCTGGATTGTTAACCTGCTGTTACGATTTTTTCTTTCTGCTGTAAGGAAATTGAGCAAACCCCACTGTAGTGAGTACTCCATGTCCTCTTTTTTTTTTTTTTTTTTTAAAGGTGGGCACCTCCAACAACCAAGTCCCACCTCCCAGGGAGAAGGCTCTTTTTTTTTTTTTTTTAAGACAGTGAGAGTGTGAGAGAAGAGAGAGAATTTTTTAATATTTATTTTTAGTTTTCGGCGGACACAACATCTTTGTTTGTATGTGGTGCTGAGGCTCGAACCCGGGCCGCACGCATGCCAGGCGAGCGCGCTACCGCTTGAGCCACATCCCCAGCCCTCCATGTCCTCTTAAGATGCTCCCAAGTTGTGGGAGACAGGGATCGGAGCAGGCACTCCCTAGCTTGATCAGAATGTCCAGGTCCCAAGTCTCTGAACAGAAGATATGATGAAACCACACCTTCTCCCCTATCGGCCTCAGGAGATCCCTTGGCTCTATCTAGGGCCTGTCTCAAGGCTCTTTTTTTTTTTTTGTACCAGGGATTAAACCCAGGGGTCGTAAACCACTGAAGGAGCTCTTCTTATTTTTTACTTACAGACAGGGCCTCCCTAAATTGCTGAGGCTGGCTTTGAACTTGTGACCCTCCTGCCTCAGCCTCCTGAGCTGCTGGGATTACAGGCATGTGCCACTGTGCCTGGCCCTCAGCTCACCTCTAGGTTGGAGTTACTCCTTAGTGCAAATATTAAGCACTCTCCAGAATGCATGGTGGGGTGCTGCTGTGTGCTGAAAATGTGATGACCCTGTCCCCGTTCCCATCTTATCTTCAATATCCCCCAGCTGCCCTGTCAAACTCTGTTCCTGACAGATGAGGAGAAGCGTCTGCTGGGGCAGGAAGGGGTTTCTCTGCCCTCTCACCTGCCCCTCACCAAGGTAACACCCTTCCCTTTCCCAAAGGGCGTCTCAGTCCAGAGGATCCATTATGGCCTCTGAGAAGCCAGGATCCCAGGGAAAAGTTGGGCAGTTGAGGGAGGTTAAGGGCCCAGAATTGACACACCCCCGGCTACCAGGCAGAGGAGAGAATCCTCAAGAAGGTCAGGAGGAAAATCCGTAACAAGCAGTCAGCTCAGGACAGTCGGCGACGGAAGAAAGAATACATCGATGGGCTGGAGAACAGGTACTTTGGGATCACATTTCTGAAGGAGGCTATGTCTGGTTCCCTTCCTCACCAAGGTAGGCAAGGTGAAGGACTCAGATTGCTGAGCCTTGTCCTGCTTCTCCCCACTCCCTAGGGTGGCAGCCTGTTCTGCACAGAACCAGGAGCTACAGAAGAAAGTCCAGGAGCTGGAGAGACACAACCTGTGAGTGAAAACACCATGTGTGTGCTGGGGGTGGGGAAGTGCTGAGCACCATTCTTGGGCCATGGTTCCCAGATGATGGTAGCTCCTTATTCCTCCTTTCCCAGCTCCTTGGTGGCTCAGCTCCGTCAGCTCCAGACGCTCATTGCTCAAACCTCAAACAAAGCTGCCCAGACAAGCACTTGCGTTCTGGTACCATCAGTCTGTCTCCCTCCCATCTCCCCCAGCCTCCATCATCTGTCTCCCCCCACACTTCCATCCTGATACCCCCCATTCCCTAGCTACATCAGTCTTCCCAACCCAGAAAACCCCAGCTGCCCTCTGCTCCCTTCCTTGACTGTCCCCACAGCCCAAGTGTCTTGCTTTCTTCCAGATCCTTCTTTTTTCTTTGGTTCTCATCATCCTGCCCAGCTTCAGTCCCTTTCAGGGTCTACCAGAAGCGGGGCCTGAGGACTACCAGCCTCGTGGAGGTGAGAAGCTCCCTGGTGAGCAAGGGGGTTTTGCGCACAGTAGTCAAGAAGTGGGAGAGAAGTCCTGCCTGTTCTGTCTAGGGTGCTCCACCCAAGAGAAACATTCTACTCTTTGCTTTTTCCTTCACCTCACAGTGATTTCCAGAAATATCTTGACCCATGTGGATATGACAGAAAGTCGAGAGACTCCAGTGGAAGAGTCCACAATGGGAGAGTCACTTAGAGCCCAGATTGCAAACACGTCGACCAGAACACTGATAGAGAAGAGGGTTGTGGAGACTGGGTCTGGTGGGCATGTCAGAACCGTGCTGCATGCAGATGAGATGTGAGCTGGAAGGTTCCTGGCCCACTCCCCTTTACCATAAGGAACCCAGGGTTCCCCTATAGCTCTGCTTCCCCCTGGTCTTCCCACTCAGGTGTCTTTGCTCTTGGGGGTCTGAATCACCTCAGGACAACATAGGAGATATCTGTATCCTGAGGCCCAGTTAGCCTGTGTAAAAAGAGTACCTCAAATACTTTTGTTATGTATCTGTGATTTTATTTCTTCTTTGGGGATAGGGTTGAGGGAAACAAAAGTTTTGACTAAGAAATAAATTTTCTAGTTAAAATTATATCCCAGAAGTTTTAAATAAGTAGTAAAAGGGGGGAAGGTAGGTACTTGGGAGATTGCCACCCCCTTTTCTCTCTGCTCCCATGATTTCCTGTCCCAAAACAAATTACTATAGGGAGAAAGAAACCAAATTACTCTTTTTTATTGTGCTTATTAATGACATGGAGAGGAAGATGGGGAGAAGGGGTTACCACCACAAGATTCCTAAGAACCAAAGGCGCAAATCAGTCCATTTCACTTTCTCTGAGATATGGTCTGTAAAATCCAGGATAAAAGGGTGGAATGTAGCTATATGGACTCAATTTGCTTCCGGACCTTTTCCAGAGCCTTTCTGTCCAGTTGTCGCTGACGGATGATGACAAGGCATGCGAAGACCAAAGCCACACCCACCACAGCCCCTTCAAATTTCCAGAATAAGTGTTGTTCCATCAGAGCTGAGCGGCAGCTGAGGATAGGAAGGAACAGTTATTCCCAGGGAAGGCCAGACAGCTTCTCCTTACCACTTCCCTTCTACTTCAGCCCCATCAAGGAGGTAACAGCCAAAAGAAAAAGAGGAAAACAGAGTCAGCCTTATAAAGTGTTTACATCATCTGGTAAGATAACAAAGATAACATTAGCTGATGTTATTGAAGAGAAAATATGGCCAATAACAGGGCTGAGAAGTAAAACCAGGACTTGGGTTTAAGTAATTTAGCTCCAAATTCCCTCTTTCCAACATGTCATGCTATCCAGGATGAAGTCACAGGAGGAAAGGAGATAATTAGTCTACAAGAAAAGAAAAGCCCTTACCTTTTGAACTCATTTCTCTTAGAGGAGCTGCATGTAATTTTCTCAACATAACCTGTGGAACCACACTCAGGGATGGTTTTCTGCCGGGAGAAAAGAACCAAAGCATGTGTTAGGAAGAGGCAGCAGGAGAAACAGAGAGGTTGCCATTCAAAAGGGCAAGTGCCCAAATGCCAATGGTCAGAGCTGGCCAGAAAACAGAGCTAACAAAGAGCTCTGATGTGCATGCTGAAGGTGGTGGTTGCATGATTAGAAATGTGTGTTGGAAAAAACACTTCAGGGTAAGAGTGTAGAAGGACATAAGGACAGATTCCAGAGCATAGTGTATTAAAAGTGAACAGAACCACAGGGCATGGAGGTGCATGCCTGTAATTCCAGCAACTTGGGAGCCTGAGGCAGGAAGAGCTCAAGTTCCAGCCCAGCCTGGCCAACTTAAACCTTGTCTCAAAATAATAAAAAAAGGTCTGGGGATGAGGCTAGATGATAGAGAGCTAGATGGTAGGATTGGGTTCAATCCCCAATACAGCAAGACAAAAAACAAAAGCAGAACAAAACCTGGTTATCAGCTGAACGCTGTTATTAACTTGGAAAGAGAGGAACATGTTTTCAGGGGGAAGACAAGTTCAGATTTGGACGTATACTGACACTGCAAGGAGAAAGAAAAGAGGATGCAAAGGTATGCTTAATGAGACTTGGGGACTGGCTAGATGTTGGGGGAAAACGGGGGAGGGGAGGGATGCTCACAGCCTGAAAACTGGAACACGGAGTACACTCTTCTGCGACCACGAACTCTTCTCCCAGCCAGCACGGCAAAGTCGAGGTGCTCACTAAAAGGGGAAAGAAATGCCGGCCCAGACCACTCAGAAAACGTTTGCCCCTGAAGCTCTACGCACCCAGATCCCAGGCCAGCGCTGGCCTCGTCCCGTGCGGTGCCACCCTTTTCCGTCCGAGCTCCGGGTGTGTAGGGAAGACATGCAAAACAATAAACCACGGGGGCGTGGGGTCGGGCAGCCACCCACCTGACTGCTTCTCCTCCCGCACGGAAGCCTCTGCTCGGCTGTAGCAGGTGGGCGAAGGGGCAAAAATTAGAATCCGGAAAACAGGCTCCCCTGCCGCAGCGGTCCGTGACCAGGCATCCCCCTCCCCAGGTGGGGACGGCTCTCCTCCGGCCCTGCCGGCCTCCCTCGGCCCCCGCCTCCTTACCAGAGCTCTACGGTGAAAGCGCAGAAGAGCCAGCAGAGGTGGAGGCCCTGGGGGAGGCCGCGCCTCCCGGTGCCCGCAGGCATGGGCGGTCAGGGTCGCACCTGTCGGGACACAGGGACCTGCTAGTTGGGCCGCGAGCCAGTCGGAAAGCAGAGGCGCTCGCCCCGCAGCGCTCCGGGCGATTCCGGCTCAGGAAGGTGAAACGGCCCGTTGCCCATCAGGGCCAAAGCTCTGCCGGGACGACCCCACGGTCGCGGCGGGAAAAGCGCCTACGAATCCGCTGTCAAGGAAGCCGGGCCCCTCGCCGGGGCGCGCGGCGCGGGAGGAAGGCCGGCTGCGGCGCCGGGGCCCAGAGCCGCTCACCTCTGCCCCCGCCCCGCGGGCGGCCATCCCGCCCGCGGAGGATGCTGGGGCGTCGCCCGCTGGGACCTGTAGTCCGCCGCGGGGGTGTCCGGGCGGTGCGGAGGGGCGGGTCTCACTGCGCCTGCGCGGCAGGACGCGGCCGATTGGCTGGGCCGTGAGGCCTGGCGGTCCCGGCAGTGCGGGAGCCGTGGGGCGGTAGCGGTGGCTGGGTCCGTGTCGTTTCTCGGTTTACCGCTTCCTGGGTCGTCGCCTTTCTCCCGTTCTGAGCTAGGTTAGCAGGGGGACAGTCCGTCGTCCTGCCGGGACTTTGGATCCTCCTTAGAACCCTGGGTTTCACCCTTAATCCCTAGCCTCTCCGACCCCTTCTCTGTCCCCTACGGCCCAGGGAGAAAGCCCGCGTGGCGGTCTGGGGTGGCGGCGAGGCTGCATTTCCCCTCCCCACGAGAGGGGAGCAGTCCAGGGGCACCGTGAGGGTGAGACTATGACTGCTGGGCTCGCGTTCTGTTCTACGCAGGTGGACCGTGTCACCCCCTCCGGTGTTCATTGCTAAACCACTTCGCAGAGCTTTTCAGCTGGTCTCCACTCTCCCTAGCGCCTACATAAGGGAATACTTACTAACCCGGTGCGAAGACCGAGATTGGGAGTTCCCAGAAGTGCTGAGACTAGGTTCAGGATCTTGTCAACTGTGTGACCTTAGGACAGTGGCTCTCAGTGTTCTGTGTGAAACGGAATGCTAATGTGCATTGCTGCTTTTTGCTAGATGCTAATGAAATGTATATGAAAACATTCTTAAAGTGTTGCTTCACTTTTTCCACCCCTCCTCCTTTCACCCAAGGAAGCTGAAAGTTGAGATTGTTCCTTGCCTGAGTTGGAACCCAGGGCCTCATGCCTGCTAAGCAAGCTCCCTACCATTGAGCTGCCTCTGTCATATGTCATAACTTTTTTAAATTCAGTTTTTAGCGGCTTTTGATCCTCAGAAGGATTCAGTATTATCCTGTTTTGTGAGTAAGTGCAGAGAGCATACATAGGTGACTTTGTTAGGGGACAGACAGATGCAAGTGATGGGAGCATGAGGTTAAGGGAATAATTCTATAAAATGGGCCCACCAAACTGACCCCCACATGCTTTCTTTTTCAAAAAGCAACTTAACTGTTGGCCTGCCTGGCTTAAGTGGACAGGCTATGTCACATTCCTCAGCAACCTACCTGTTTCCTGCTGAAGAAATGCAGGCCACAAATAATGTTAAGAGGAACCCACGTTACCCTGAAGAGGAAGACTTTTGTGACTCTTTTGACAGACCAGATCTTAAAACTCAGGGAGATAAGGATAATTCCTCCTAACCATAAAATCTGTAAGAATCTATGGTTCACAATCCAATTAGAACCAGTCAGCTTGGGCCAAAGTGACACAGAGTTGTCATGGCAGTGGGGACTTGAAAATCCGAGGTATAACTGCTATCAGTCAAAAGTTAAGAGGTGGCCTGGGTGGGACTCTGGAAATTTCTCTGGGATCCGCAATAAAACAAGTGTAGGAGAGGCACACTGTCCCTCTCCTGAGAGGATCAGCTCTCTCCCTTGAGAGTGTCCTCTTTCCCTTTTTTTATCCCTTTGTTAAACTCATCTCTGAGCAACATGTCTGAAACCTTTCTGACTCGTTTGCAAGAATTCGGGCTTGAAGGGATTCCTTTGCACTGCCTCAGTTTTCTGGAAGGCCCCAGCTCTCTAACAACTTGTCCAAGGTTATCAAGCTAGTAAATGGAAGACAAGAGGCTTGACTCCAAAATTTCAGCTCCCAGGCTAGAGGTTAAGCATGCTTTCCAACCTCATGGAGTTAAACCTTTATATACTCAAAATTGCAGTGACAGAGAGGGAAGGAAGAAGTACTGGGAAATGAAATGGAGGAAATTATATTCCACGAATGTATGATTATGTCCAAGTGAACCTCAATATTATGTAACTATAATGTACTAATAAAAACATTAAAAAGGGGGGGACTTGACCCACACCCTGGGTTCCCACTTTACTGTCAGGTAATGTATTAGTTACTCTCCGAATTCGGCCCTGATTTGTTTCTTGATTTCATACATAATGTGTGACTGCAGCGTCCCAGACACTGGGAACCATGTGAGTTTAGTTCTCTTAGATGCTCAATAGATAGACCAAGAAGTACTTAAACTCCATACAAACATGAATGCTGAATTCCCACCCCCCTTCTGAATTAAGAACAGCTTCCTCATGCTGAGATTGGAGGCTAAAAGGCTGCAAGTTCCCACTCTGATACCAAGGAAGCTGAAAGTTGAGATTGTTCCCTGCCTTGGCCTGTCCAGCATAGGTTAACTAAGTTACACATGTACACTGCCTTTTGTCTCACTTCCCAACCTCTCCTCCCCTGCCTATTCTCCTTTAAAAGCTCAGGTATGGGGATATGATTCTGTGATAGAGCACTTGCCTGGCATGTTATAGGCCATGGGTTCAACTCTCAGCACCAATAAATAAATAAATAGATAAATAAATAAATAAACGCTCTGTTCACCTTTGGAGATTTTGAAGATGGAACTTTTGAAGCAATGTCTTCTACCTACAAAGATGGCTTTGAACAGAACCATTTTTCCTTTTATTTTTGGTATTGAGGATTAAACCCAAGGGCACTTTACCACTGACCTACATCCCCACTTCTTTTCATTTTTTATTTTGAGACAAGATCTTACTAAGTTACTGAGGATCTTCGTAAATTGCTGAGGCTGTCCTCGAACTTGAGATCCTCCAGAGTCTCTGGGGTTACAGGTATGAGCCAATGATAGGCAGCATATAGACACAAACAGTAGTAACATAACAACATTAAGCAGGTAATTCTACAAACAGGGCCCACTATGCTGACCTCCACTTGCTTTCTTTTATTTATTTTATTTTTTTAATTTTTAATTTATTCTTTAGTTTTCAGTGGACACAACATCTTTGTTTGTATGTGGTGCTGAGGATCGAACCTTGGCCCCATGCATGCCAGGTGAGCACACTACCCCTTGAGCCACATCCCCAGCCCCCACTTGCTTTCTTTTAAAAAACAATTTACCCACAGCCCTCCCTGACTTAAGTCAATAGGATATGCTAAATTCCTCAGCAAACAACCTATTATGCAGATGAAATGCAGGCCCAAAATGCTCTTTCTTCCCTGATAAGAACACAAGTTACCCTGAAGGAGAAGGGGCTTTTGTGACCTTTACACAGACCAGATTCTAGAACTCAGGGATATATGATAGAAGAAAGCCCCTAACTGTAAGATCTAAGTTCCAATTAGAACCAGTCAGTGTGGGCCAAAGTGATCAAGAGTTACCTTGAATCTTTTTTTTTTTTTTAAGTTGTTGATAGACCTTTATTGTATTTATACATAATGCTGAGAATGGAACCCAGTGTCTCACACAACCCAGGGCTCACACTAAGCCCCAGCCCCAGCCCTACCTTGACTCTCTTATCATGCACAGTGGGGACTTGGAAGTCTGATGCAATCCTGCTGTCAGTCAAAAGTCAAGAGGTAGACCTGGGCAGAGCTCTCTGGAAACTTCTGTGAGACCTCCAATAAAACTATAGGGCAGGAGGGGTGCACCATTCTTCTCTTTCCTGAGGATTCTCTCTCTCTCTCTCTCTCTCTCTCTCTCTCTCTCTCTCTCTCTCTCTATATATATATATATATATATATATATATATATATATATATATATATATTAGTGTCCCCTTTCCCCTCTTTCCTATCCCTTCTCATACCAGGTACTCTTAGCAACATATCTGAAAATTTTCCAGCATGATCACAAGACCTGGTAACCAAGGACTGCATGGCTACCTTGATTTGTAATAATCACGCCCCATGTGTCTCATGTTTATACATTACAGAAAATTGGTTGTGGCTTTTTTCCCCTGGTTTTTAGGTAGGATAGAGTTTTTATTTTCTCAGTACTGGGGATTGAACCCAGGGGTACTTTATCCATGAAGTACATTCCCCAACCCTCTTTATTTTTTGAGATAGGATCTTACTAAATTGCTGAGGCTGGCCTTGAACTTATAACCCTCCTGCCTCAGCCTCCAGAGTCAGTGGGCCCACTATGCTAGCATTTGTTATTCCTTAGCGTAATCTTACATCTACTTTATCTCATGGAAAGTTGTTCTGTGTGATTTTTTTTTTTTTTTTTTTTTTTTTTTGCACTGGGAATTGAACCAGAGGTACTTTACCACTGAGCAACATCCCCCACCTGATTTACTTATTTATTTTTTGAGGTGGGGTCTTGCTAAATTGCTTAGGGCTTAGGCTGGCCTCAAACTTGCTGTCCTGTCTCTGGTATTATAGGCATGTACCATTGAGCCTGGGTAACCCCTGTGATCTTATAAGATTTCACTTCCAATAAACTTAGCAAGAAACCAACTTGGGCCAGGCATGGTGGTGCATGCCTGTAATCCCAGCAGCTTGGGAGGCTGAGGCAGGTGGATTAAGAGTTCAAAGCCAGCCTCAGCAATGGAGAGGCGCTGAGCAACTCAGTGAGACCCTGTCTCTAAATAAGATACAAAATAGGGCTAGGGATGTGGCTCAGTGCTTGAGTGCCCCCGAGTTCAATCCATGGTACCAAAAAATTTATCTAAAAAAGAAAAGAAACCAACCAACTTGGATATCTGCTCTGAAAGTGAATTTTTAAATATCTGTTTGGGGGTATGATGAAGCTGTCAGTCTTGACAGCTTAAATAACACTTGAATATTCAACACTTCAAGTGGTACATTTATTTTGTTCAAAGCAAATGTGACATTTTCATTGATCTTAATAAAAGATGAAGTCCAGAGCTGGAGATGTTGTTCAGTGGTAGAGCCCCTTCCCAGCACTTAGAGGGCCCTGGGTTTCATCACCAGCAAAGAAAGAAAGAAAAGAAAACAAGCAAGCAAGGAAGGAAGGGAGAGGAGAGGAGAGGGAGGGAGGGAGGGAGGGAGGGAGGGAGGAAAGGAAAAATATCAAGCCAGGTGCAGTGGGTGTAATCCCAGGGGCTCAGGAGGCCATGGGATTACAGGGTTGCAAGTTCAAACCCAGCCTCAGCAATTTAGCAAGGCCCGAAGCAACTCAGTGAGATCCTGTCTCAAAATAAAAAAAATAAATAAAAAGAGCTGAGGATGTGGCTCAGTGGTTAAGCACCACTGGGTTCAATCCCCACTACCCGCCCCCCCCCCAAAAAAAATCTGCAGTTTTAAAAAATACTGAGCTGGACATGGTGGTGCACACTTGTGATTCCTACTTGGGAGGCTGGAGCAGGAATTGTTCAAGGCTAGTCTGAACAATTTATCTAGACCCTGTCTCAAAATCCAAACTAAAAATGGCTGAGGATATAGCTCAGGGGTTGAGTGCCCCTTGGTTCAATTCCCAGTATCATTGAAAGGGAGGGTGGCTATGTGTACTTAAGGGGGCAATATATCAAGCCTGAAAGTTTTGGTGGTTTTTCTTTTGCATGCTGATAATTTTGGCGTGTGTCTCTCCCTCACCCCCCAAGAGTTAACTGTTTTTATTAAAATTTGCTTATTTCTCTGCCTGTAAGAACCACCTAAGGGCTAGTAGTGGTGGTGCTTGCCTATAATCCCAGAGACTCCTGTAATCCCAGCAACTCCAGAGGCTGAGGCCAGAAGATCACAAGTTCAAAGTCAGCCTCAGCAAGTTAGTGAGGCTCTGCTCAAAAATAATGAAAAGTAAAAGGGCTGGGGATGTGGCTCAGTGGTTAAGTGCCCTGGGTTGAATCCCTGGTACCAAAAGAAAAACAAACAAACA